CAATACTAAGAATAATACCAATACTAAAGCCTAAAATTATCCATTCTAAACTCAAAAATCACTACCAACACACCTCTACACACTTGTTTTATGGTCCTACTTGATTTCTAAGGCATATGGAAGTGTTATAAGGGTTATCTAACACCATTTTTATTTAACAAGACAATAATTAAAAATGACCATCTAGTGCGCTAAGCACTCAAAATATCCAACATACATCATATCAACAAGCAAATCATTAAGTTTATGAAAAGAAGGAAGTATTTCAGAGTCGATTCTGTTTTTAATTGTTTAATTATTCTTTGTCTTTCCATTTTAATCTTAGCTCAAAAATCTATTTTTAAATGCCAATTTGACCCAATTCTCTTCCGACTAGGCCCATACTTTGTCTAAAAACTTAAATCATATTTTCAAATCAGTCAATAGACATCATAGTCAATCCTTATACATTGACTTAAACATTTGAATCGTTACATAACATTATTTGAAACTCATCATGACCCAGTATATAGTTTTCTAACTTTATGCAAAAAAGTAACAAATGCATGCATGTTTGCTTGCAAAATGCAAAAAAGATACAATATATACAAGTGCACACAATCTATGTGATAGGAGATGGACTGAAAGTCAGTCCATATCTTTCTAGTTTGCACAGACTAATCCCTTTAAAGGTAGTCCAATTGTATTTTTTTTAATAGTGAGGCTACACGGGGTCAAGTATATATTATTTCTAGTCATGATTCTCTATTTACTTCATGATTTTAGAAAAAAAAATGTATGAGGATCTAGGTACTAGGCTTAAATTAAGTATGCGTTTTTATCTGTAAATTAATGGTTAATTAGAGTGGGTAGTCCAGATTTTGAAGGACATATTGAAGACCTGTATTATAGACTTTTGAGGTGACTGGGAGGAGTACTTACCATTGATAGAGTTTGCTTATGACAATAATTATCGATTAAGCATTCATATGGCATCTAAGAAGGCTTTGTATGGATGTAAGTTTCAGACATCGTTATGTTGGATTGAGTTAGGTGATAGAAACATTATGTGTCTAGAATTGGTAAAGGAGAATGATGATAGAATCAGATAGATTTATGATCGATTAAAAGTGACTATCGACAGACATAAATCATATTCTAGTCTTAAAAGGAAAGTCATTTAGTTCGGTGTAGGAGACCAAATTTTTCTCAAGGTATCTCATAGAAGAAAGTCCTCAGATTTAGTTGTAAGGGCAAGTTGAGCCCGAGGTTTATCGGGTTGTATCAAATTTGTAAGAGGATAGAGCCAATTGTCTATTAGATGGAGTTGCCACCTAAATTAGAGTGCATCCATAATATTTTTCATGTTTTCATATTAAGGTGGTATTAATCTAACCCATTGCATATCATTTTAGTTGGGGAGATCAAGTTGAAACCTGACTTGACTTTGAATGAAAATGTATTCTATTAATTAAGGTACTATGGTGTAATCATAGTATTGAGGAGGCTATATGGGAACCAAGGAAGTTTATTTATAGCCAATATTTATATCTATTTGATTCACGTGCAATTTTGATGTTAAAATTTCATTATAGGGAGAAAGTAGTCATGCCCTGAATCTTAAGTAAGAAGTCCAAGCAAAACTATAAAATTTGGATATTTATATTTATTTGAAATTTTGGTTCTAAATTGTAGGAATGTGAATTCTTGAAGGTAGAATTGTGAGCTTCTAACAGTTTTGTACCACTTCTTGAAAGACTAGGAAAACCAATGGTTAAGACCTTATTTTTCCCATTTATTTATTTTTATTTAATAATTCCTCTGTCGACCCATTTGAGGAATGAGAACCATGAAGCCTTTTTACCTACGGTCATCAGTCCAAAATTCCTATACCCAAACCCAATCAGATAATTCGCGAATTTCCTATACCCAACCTTAATGAGTGAATTAATAATATTATTTGGGTAAATTATGCGTTTAGTACTTAAACTGTCAGTTTTGATCCATTTTAATACATAATCTTTCAAATTTATAAATCATACTTAACGTTTAGTTTTTGTTTGATTTTAGTATCTCGTCATTAAAACTTAACGACAATGCATTTTTTATGGGTAAATTACATCTTTCATCATTCAACTATCTTCTCACTCCTATTTTGGCACTAAAATTTTAAATTTTCAATTTAACTACTCAATTTTCAATTTTTTGCTATTTTAATCACTCTAATTTATTTTATTAATATTTTTTGTGACATGACATTTTTTCATTATTTTATTAATATAAAATATTTTTTTTAAAAGTTAGAGTGATTAATTAGGAGTAATTTGAAAGTTAAGTAATTAAATTAAAAAAATTAAACTTTAGTGACTAAAATAGGATTGAGAAGATAATTGAGTGATGAATGATGCAATTTACCCATAAAAAATGTGTCACGTGCAAATCACCAGTTATGTTTTTAACAGCGAGGTACTAAAACGAAACAAAAACTAAATATTAGGTATGGTTTTGAAAAAATTGAAAGTTTAGGTACAAAAATAGATTAAAATTTATAGTCTATGTACTAAATGCGTAATTTACCCTATTATTTTTTATTTTTAGTTAGGTGTAAATACCCATATTAATTGGAACGTTCACATCGGTTAGCTAGTACTTGTCTATAGGTTCAAATCATACTAGCTTCGACATCTAGTTTATTTGATCATTTTTATTAAGTCTAATTAATATTTTTTGATAGATAAGTCTAATTAATCTATTATGCTAAAATATGTTTTAAATGTTGATGTAATCTAAGATAACATTTCTAAACCATTGTATGACTTTATTGTATGACTTTATGTGATGCATTAAACTTTGTATTGTGGACTAAATTATATGATTACTTTGGTTGATAATTAGCATGTTTCTGATTACACATATGATCCATGGTTAAGCATGCCTTTATGTTATCCGTTAAATATTGAAAATATCTATTATGCCTGAAATATGTTTTAAGCGTTGATAACATTTCTAAACCATTGAATGACTTTATTTGATGTATTGAACTTTGTATTATGAACTAAATTATATGATTACTTTGGTTGATAATTAGCATGTTTCTGATTACACATATGATTCATGGTTAAGCATGCCTTTGTGTTATCTGTTAAAAATTGAAAAGATCTATTATGCCTAAAATATGACTTTATCTGATGTATTGAACTTTTTATTATGGACTAAATTATATGATTATTTTGGTTTATAATTAGCATGTTTCTGATTACACATATGATCCATGGTTAAGCATGCCTTCGTGTTAACTGTTAAATATTGAAAAGCATGTTTCTATCTCTATTAGTATCCGTATTTTTATGTGCATCTGAAAAGTACTAAAATTTGTACTGCATGCCATGTTGCCAATTTGTACATCTATCACGTGCCATATGCATTTTGTTGCATATGGGTGAGTAATTGTAGGAGGAATATCTAAGGTTCATTACTCCTTGTGGTTATTCCATTACTTGTAGCGGTTTACCACTCTGGTTTACGTGATTCACTGTAAACTGTTTGTTGTATGGTTGTTTATGGGTTTTGGTAAACTCGTCTTGTTAGGTTTAACGAATGGTTTGGCAGATAGAAACTTGCTAACTCATATATGCATTTATGTGATTTTGTGTATTTTAAATTACTATGTACTTAGAATCATGTTTGATCTTTGATTATTTATCGGTTTGATTTACTACACTAGTCGACTATAGTGTAGCTTATCTCTTTCCTTTGTCTTACCCTTTTAGATACTTTAAGAAATTAGGATCATGATTGTGCTCGTCACTCAAAAGATATGGGTCTTAGATATTATCATATTATATGTAGCATATCGTATCATTAACCATCAATTTCGATACACAGTATATGTGCCTCAGATGAGGGAATATAGCTCCGATGCGTTTTCACATTGAATTACCAATTCAAAACATTTCATAACACGATACAATCCTATACAATCTAAGTCGCAACATTATATGTAATAAGAATTAGCTTAACTTCGACTACACTCGTATTTCTAGCTTTCGAAATGGCATCAATTCAAGTTATTTCATCATCCACTTTCTCTTTGCTCTTGTTACTTGAAACACTAGCTTGGTCTTGAGCTTCAAAGTAATATATATACGCTAAAACAAAATTGTTCTTTAGTGGCGTTTTGAGAGTAAATGCCACTAAATTTACACATATAGCAGCCGTTACATTCCAAACGCCACAAAATGGTAACTTTAGCAGTGTTTTTTCGATAAACGCCACAACAAAGTAGTACTTTAGCAGCGTTTTTATACAAACGCCGCAATAGATCTATCTATAGTGGCGTTTTTTAATAAACCCGCAATAAATTAGTACTTTAGTGCTTTTTTATACAAACGCCGCAATAGGGTTCACCTATAGTGACGTTTTTCTTATGAACGTCGTAAAAGTGTAGTGATTTAGCGGCGTTTTTATACAAACGACGCAATAGGTTTCATTTGTTCTAACACTGACAACAGGACTCGAACTAGGGTTTTCACACTCACTTTTTATTAAAGCCCAAACTGTTTATGTCAGTTCTTATTTCCCTCCAAAGCAACAATTTTCATTTTGTCCTCAGCTAATAAAAAAGAAAACTTGTTTCAAGTCTTCAACTTTTTTCCGACGAAATAAAATAAAAATGTCTCTTTTGTTCCGTTAACAGAGCACATCAATGGGTTCGCATTTCCAGACGACAACACTGCTGGGTTTACCATCGTACCGTAACTCCATCATCCGGTCCGACGAGAACCTGATTGCCGTTGCATCTAGTCACCTCGTCACTATTTCTGGTAAGTGTTTGATGTTTCAGTTTTGCTCGCTATATAAATTGCTACAATGACATTGCTTTGAGAAAGTTTAGTTCTGCAACCATCAGGTTTGGATCCAAACCTCTGGCTCACTCTCATTTAAGGTTTAAATATGGTCTTCATAAAACCCTATACTCCTACTCACAGTTTACTGTTCGGACACTTTAAAAAAATTTACTGTTCAGACACCATAAAAATCGCAGACAAAGAATCCTTCATTTTAGGGCATTGGTCCGAATTCTTTTCACTCTTTTTTGGCAATGGCGGAGGAAACAGAGAGTAACCAATTGACGGTGGAGCCGGTAATGGAGAATATCAGCGAGAAGATTCACAGCCATGATTCGTCTTCTTCTTCGGATTCTGATTCGAATCATGGGAAACCCGCTTCTCCTAGCTCCGTTAAGGCTAAGATTTATAGGTTGTTTGGAAGGGAGAGACCTGTTCACCATATTCTTGGTGGTGGAAAGCGTACGTACTCTCAAACCCCTCTTTCACTTTTCTTTTCAAGTAATGAGATCCGGGTTTTGTGTTAGTTTTGTTTTTATGAAGTTGATGAACTCTGGGGTGAAAATTACCGTGCAGTTAGTTTTAGAATGATCCAAAACGTTACTTTGATGGAAGATTAACAAATCTGCATTTTATTTCACATTTTATGATCTTTTTGGTAGCTAAGAAAATGCAAGGCTTGAGTTCTTTTTTTTAAATTATTTGGTGCAGCTGCTGATGTGTTTTTGGGGAGGAACAAGAAGATTTCGGCTGGTTTTCTCGGTGGAGTAACTGCAATTTGGGTCCTATTGACTGGTGCAGAATTCTAAAACTGTTTTCTTGGCTGTGTCTATTTTAAGCATGAGTTCACTACCATCCATATTGACTGGATATATAGAAAAAAGGGGCAAAATATTCATGGTTTGTGATTTCCAATTTATCCAAAAAAATGCATAAAAACAATGGTCTAGAGTGTGCCATATTGGTATATATCCCATGGATTTTTGTCATAGTATTTAGGCCTCATATTGTAAACCTGTTACCATAATTTCTGGTTAGAGTTAGACATTCATGATTTCAGCTTGTTTCCCCACACAGTACTTGAGACAGATGCTTCATCTATTACCAAAGAAAAAGGAGTAGAAATGTAATGCATGTATATGCTCTTCTCCATAGGATAATGAAGTTGCAGTCTATTCTTGTTCCTTCTTTTACATTTTGGTTGTGCTTTACATCACTGTTAGACAAGGAATTCAATATGCTAATTAACATTTATTACTATTATATTGTTGGATATTAAAATTGTAATTGCTGGCTTTCTTAAGTTTTTTGTTTTTGTTCTATTTTCTAATGATTTTAGTCCATATTTATTTTACTATTAACACTTTTTTTTAAAAGATTCATTAAACTAAAAGGTTTTTTCAGCGGGGAACTTTTTGACTGCAAAACCAAACTGGCAGGAACCTCCAGAATCCCTGCATGCAGATAAAATTGTTGGAGCTGGTGCTTCAGCTTCAATGAGTGAGAGGCATAGCGGCTGTGACCTTGCTACTGTTCCTAAAGAAATTCCTTCTAGTCTTGAAATTGCCTCAACGCCATTGGGAGAGGTGAAGATTTCTATAAGCTACAATTCTGCTATTGGAAGACCAAATTTCCAATTGCCTACTGTAGATGAACTTAGAGAACTGATGAAGCAGAGGTGCCTCCAGTCATACAAACTCATTGACCCTAATTTTGATGTATTCAAAGTTTTGAGTGATATGTGTGAGTGCATATTTAGGTGATGTTTATAAATTTTAATTTATTACATGATATTTAATTTTAATGTTTATAAATTTTAATTTATAAATTTTAATTTATTTTGTTGTTAAGTATTTTTCTGCATAACTTGTGTCTTAATTAAAATGTATGGTTGTTGTTAATTAGATAAAGCTACATGATATTAAATTTAGGTGATGTAGAGAAATGAAATATGCAAAATCAATTAATCTTAGCTAAAGAAAGGTAATTAGCGGCGTTTGTATCAAAAAACGACGCTATAGATTTGACCTTTTGTGGTGTTTATATCCAAAAATGCCGCTATAGATCAGATCTTTTGCGGCGTTTGTTCCAAAACTACCGCTATAGATCTGACCTTTTGCGGCATTTGTATCCAAAATAGCCGCTATAGATCTGACTTTTTTCTACGTTTGTTACAAAAACGCCACTATAGATATCAACCTTTTGCAACGTTTATTCCAAAAGCGCCGCTATAGATATCTACCTTTTGCGGCGTTTTTGGATATTTACCTATTGCAGTGTTTTTTGTTCTCAAACGCCGCTAACTTTAGCAGCGCTACTATGGTCGGTGCTTCTTGCGGCATTTTTCCTATCGTCGTAAGTGGTTTTAGCGGCGATTAAAAAAGCCGCTATAGGACTAAAAAACGCCGCTAAAACTCTGTTTTGGTGTAGTGACACAATCAATGATCAATATCATAAGTAAGTTACCAAGTTAAAAGCATGGATGATGGTGTAAGGTTCCAAACTTGTTTTACCTTGCTTGTAAGACAACTTTTAACACTAAATGTTTTGATGTTTACTTTCACAATTCAAAGCTAAGTTTTCATAACATGTTTCACTCAATACTCTAGGAGATTATGGGCATGGAAGGGGATGAAAGATGATAACTTGAATTTTTCTCCTTTCATTCAATGGGATAATGATCTAAATTAAAAGACTTAATTCTCCTTTTAAGAAATGAAGGGTTGGAATTTCCCCTTACAAAAGATGGTAAGGATCAAAGGGTGGAGAAAGCACCAACATCTTCCAATATCTTTCAAATTGGCCCAATTATCAATAAAGGATCCCAGTTTTTAAAGCAAATTGATTACCAAAAACTCACAATATACAATGTAAGAAATAAAGCTCCAATGTAATAAAAACCAGTTTTATCATGTAATAGTTTCCCACAATCTTCTTCTCATCATATATAACACTTAATTACATGATTAAAAGAAGCAAGAGGGTTGAGAGTGCGATTGTGGATATGTGAATGCGATCAACATGGGTGGAGTTGGGAAGAAAAGGATAGGTAGCAGGAAGAGGCAGCAAGCATTCATCTCCATTGAAGTAGACTTTTCGAGGAAATGCCCAGCCATGCTTGAAACTAAACGTGTCCTTGTTTTTCCTTAACAGCACCTCCGACTGTACATTTCCTAGGGGCCTGCTTCCATCAGTAGGTCATTGTAGAATTTCATGCCATAAAACATGCCCGCGTCATCTGCATAAGTTGATCGACAAATGTTAATGATTCTAGCTAGGGTTTTATATAGACAATGATTAGTGATGGCAGTAATGGAACTTCACTTATGGCTTCATACGGCAGCAATGATTAGGGTTTTATAATAACTAATATCACTATGTAATCATGTATTATATATCAATAGTACTTGATAGTATATATCAATAATAGTTGACACCACTGAGCAATTAGGTATCGATTACATATGTGATACTTAATATCACTAAGTAGTCAAGTATTAATTTCACCAAACACAAATATATGGAGTCGTTACATGATATCACTAAACAATAAAGCCGCTAAATCACAGATATCCCGATAGTTACCATTCTACACGATCACACACACAAATACGTGGCTATAAACCACGCATCGCTATAATTGCATTCAAGGCTCATTAACATCATGACTAATTGTTACAATGTTTATTTATTTATTTAGGCACAAGCCCTTTTCACTAATCACCACATGATTTACTCACTACTATGATTAATTTTTTCCTATAGTGTTAGGCTTAAGAGTATAATAATCTTTCTGTAGTTTATGACCATTAATAAATATTATAATAAGATTATTTAAGTTATGAAACATTCATAATCTCATCTACCATATGGGGTAACTTAGTCACACTAGCTATCAAGAGCGTTTTGGTAGTTTACACCACGTAACAATATTTTAATCATTTAATGCATTAAGATTTTCACTTAAGCTCATCTAGTCATTATAAATAATGTTCAATGTTATTTGCTTAATTTTAAAGTTAAACTAGGTTTAAAAAACTTTAGGTGTAGATATCAAACTTAAGTATCGATATTTTCGAATAATATCTATACCAAATTGGCATACTAGAGTCTCATATTTCATCTCGGTATCAATACTGAAGGTTGAACATCAATACCATTAGTACAATATCGACATCTCAAGAAGAAGTATCTATTTTAAGGGTTTTTTTCATACAAAATCAATACCATAAGAATAATATCAATACCGGAGCCTAAAATTGTCCATTTTAAACTCAAAAATCACTCCCAACACACCTCTACACACTTGTTTTAAGGCCTTGATTGATTTCTAAGGCATATGGAAGTATTATAAGGGTTATCTAACACCATTTTTATGAAATGTTTAACAAATCAATCATTAAAAATGATCATTTAACATGCTTATCACTTAAAATATCCAACATATATCATATCAACAAACAAATCAATAAGTTTATGGAAGGAAGTATTTCAGAGTCAATTCTCTTTTTAATTGTTTAATTACTCTTTTAGTCTTTCCATTTTTAATTTTAACTAAAAAATCTCTTTTTAAATGCCAATTGGACCAAATTCTCTCTCGACTAGATCTTTACTTTGTCTATAAACTTAATCGTTACATAACATTATTTGAAAACTCATCATTGGCCGAGTATATAGTTTTCTAACTTGATGCACAAAAGTAACAAATGCATGCATGTTGGCTTGCAAAATGCAAAATGAAAAAATAAATACAATATATACAATTGCACACAATTTATGTGAAAGTAGATAGATTGACCAAGTCAGTCCATATCTTTCTAGTTCGCATAAGCTAATCCCTTTGAAGATTAGCCCAATTGTATATTTTTGAGATAGTGAGACTACACGGGGTCAAGTATATATTATTTCTGGCTATGATTCTTGATTTACTTCATTTTAGAAAACAAATTATGGGGATCTAGGTATTAGACTTAAATTAAGTATGAGTTTTTATCTATAAATTGATGGTTAATTAGAGTGGGTAGTCCATATTTTGAAGGACATATTGAGGACTTGTATTATAGACTTTTGAGGTAACTCGGAGGAGTACTTACCATTGATAGAGTTTTTTTTATGAAAATAATTATCAATTGAGCATTCATATGGCATAGAATAAGACTTTGTATGGTGTACATTTCAGACGTCGTTATGTTGGATTGAGTTAGGTGATAGAAACATTGTGGGTCTAGAATTCATAAAAGAGACTGATGATACTATCAGATAGATTCATGATTGATTGAAAGTGACTATTAATAAACATAAGTCATATTCTGATTTTAAAAGGAAAGTCATTTAGTTATGTGTGAAAGACCATGTTTTCCTTAAGGTATCCTATAGAAGAAAGTCTTGAGATTTAGTCGTAAGGACAAGTTGAGCCTGAGGTTCATCGAGTTCTATCAAATTTGTAGGAGGATTGAGCTAGTAGTCTATCAGATAGAGTTTCCACCTAAGTTAGAGTGCATCCATGATATTTTACATGTTCCATATTAAGGTGGTATTAATTTAACCCGTTATTTATCATTTCAGTTGGATATATCAAGGTGAGACTCGACTTGATTTTTGAGGAGAATCATATTCAAATGGAAATATATTCTATTGATTAAGGCTTAATATAAAAATAAATGCCCAAACTATATCGTTTTTCTTAAAGTGGTACCTGTCGGAACTGTCCTTAAGCCTTTTAGGGCTCAGTGCGGGGATCGATCCAACTTAATCTTGGGAAAAGGTTAGGTTTCAAAATAAAACAAATAAATATTTTCGGAGTCGCCATCGACCTTTGGGTTAGGTAGGTTGGATACCTAAAAATACATTTTAAAATAATTTTAAGAAAAATTCATTTTGAAAAAGGGTTCGGGAGTCGATTACGTGTAAGGAAGGATTAGCACCCCGACAACGGCCGAAATCGGTACCTAAACAATTATACGTCATCTAAATATTGGTAAATTGGCAAATTCAAATATACATTTAAATTATGATCCTTTTTTAGAAAAATATCAGGGGTATTATTTTGCACTTACAAATACCTTCCTTGTCAGTTAAAGGGCCACCGTATTTTACCCGGACGTTCGCCTTGGCCTCCCTATCCCCGATCTGGCCTCTGTTTCTTCGGGGGATGCATTGAATATCGTAAAATGGCTGAAAATAGTTCGTTTTTCCTGGGTTTCGATCGTTGTTGTCCACATTTGGATCGGGCCATGGTCAAGATATGTCATTCTTGTCCTCCTTACGTAACTTCTCACTGTTGGGATCAACCAGCCATCTCTCCGATCACTTGGAAATGATGATGGTCGGAGGTAAGGTTATCCTCCCCTTTCCTTTCTTCAATTTTTTTCTCTTTTTTTCTTGATTTTTCAGAATTCTTTTTCCTTTGTTTTTTTCCGTTCTGGTTCGAAACCTCATGCCCTTTTGTTTCACTTGGTTCTATCGAGCCCCCTACGACAAGACTTAACTCCGACCGAGGGGAAATTGGGACTCATTTAAGTGAATCCTCCTCTATTCCTTATTTTGGTTTCGAAAACACATGCACACACAATTCACTTTAAAAAATGAAATCTGGAATCAAAATGAAACTGAAAAAAAATCTTTCTCTTATATTGTTTGATCCGAAAATGGGGAAGAGAAACAAATCTCTAGTAAAATTTTTCAATTGAGAGAACTCCCTCCTGTTACAATTGATTTCTCCATTTTTCAAACCCCCTCTATTGTTACTAGAAAAACCGAGAGA